AAAACGATTAAAGTTGTGCGTACCAAGCTCAAGGGTTTATCTGATTACCGCGAATTCGATCGTCTTCAAGCGATTACGTAGAGATTTTGTTTTTGATTTGAAAAATCACAACATCGTTTACATATACTACTTCCGAAGCAGAGGAAACGCCTGAGACGCTGCTTAATATCGAGCCGTAGTTTCCACGCCACGCGTTTGCTTTTTATTTTATTTATTTGTTTATTCTCTCTATTATCCACAAAATTCTTTCAAGATAATATATATTAATTAATTCTTTTAAGAAATCTTTAAAAGCTAAAATGAAGAAAGAAATACTCGAATAAGCTTCTAGATATTGAAAAATATTACGATAGGATCTGATTCTAGTCAAAACTTAACACACACCTAATCATCCATTACAGATTTGGATCATTTTAAAACTGTTATGCGAAAATAAAAGTAAACAAAAGGTCCGGTAGTTTGGTTTACCGGATTCGGTAGAAACCAACCAAACCATTTTTGTCATTTAAATTAGGGAAATTTGGAGTAATAACTATAAAACAAACTATAATTCACTATATGACCAAAAAACAAAAAAACGTGATATTATCAGTATAACATAATAATTGATTTTTAAGGATTTGACAGACAAATTAAAAAAACATTAAATTCTTTAATTTTTTTAAATTAAAATATTATTTATTATTCAATTAAATACTATTCAACCAATAATAAATAAATCTACAGAATATAAAAAGTAATATAAAATAAAATTATAATTAATTTTGTATTGAAAACTGAAAAAATCATGAGTTAATTAGCTGTATATCACTTTTGAGATTTATAATTAGAAAATTAACATATTCAAAAATATAATTAGGTAACTAACAAAGAGAATTAAATTATGAAAAATTGCCCTTACAACTATAATTAAGGTAAATATACATAAAAATTCCTAAATATATTTTCTTGATTTAATTCCTAGAAAATTGCTCATGCAATGGTATCCTTGCCAAAAGTAGATGTGTGTTTTCACAACTACTATAAAAAAAATTGGATCAGAAGATACAAAAAATAAATATGCATAACAGTTAACTATTTAATAACATAGTTAACTATTTTTGAAACGTCTCAGAACATAGTTAACTATCTAAAATATATTTAACTATTTTTTGAAAATAGTTACCAATTTGAAAATATAGTTAACTATTTTCATAGCATAGTTAACTGCACTACTGATTTCAAGACATAGTTGACTACAGTAAAAATGTTGTTGTAATAGTTAGTTATTTAAACAAACATAGTTAACTAGTTCAAAACGTAGTTATTAACATACATAGTTGACTATTATCGGAAACATAGTTGCTTATTATAATGAAAAATAGCATACATAGTAAACTATTATAAAAAACATAATTACCTTCTTTACTTAGTTAACTATGTCGATCTTCGACGACAACTCAATTTGACCAGGAGATGAATGACGGTGGAGAAATTAATGGAGGAGAAGAAAAACACCATCTTAATCCACTATAAAAGATTTTGATCCATGACAACGAGTTAACACAAAGTAATTAAGAAAGAAGAAGAAGAACCAAATTGTGAAATATAAGGAGGCGTAGGAAGAGGAGAAAAGAAGAGTACGGCGGAGATTTGTGAAGTTGGCGAGACTAGAATAACTTTCTTTGTTTTATCTTTTTTTTTTAGTAAAACATGATTAAATAAAAATAGGATAATTCTAGAATTTCATGTACACAAATTGTTAAACACCTAATTATAGTTTAGATCATATTAAATAATTAATTATGTCTACCAATCATAATATACATGTTTATTACTCAAAAATCATCTAATTTGATATAAAACAAATTCTCTAAAAAAACCAACTAATGATACAGAGGGAATATACAATATGTACTCTTTACCTTTTTAACACACATCACTCGCTTTTATGAAAAATGAACATACACACCACTCATATTTTTCTATCCCTCTCTCACGTCAATTCATTTTTTTTTTGTTTTTCTCTCGCCTTTGTTGAATTTTTTATCTCTTCGCCCCTTCTATACAATATTCTACCAATCATTTTATACAAACTAATTTACTCTTATAATTCTAACTTTAAAAAAATCTGTTATTTTTTTCAAACATGCGATGATTTAAATTTTTTTAAACGGAAAATAATAGCTCAAGCACAAATATGTAACT